GCAAATACTAAGAAAATACTTCTAAGCCCTTGGGTTGATAGCTGAAGAGCAGCACTAGTAAGAAAGCTCTCTGCCTGAGAGTCAGGAAACCAAGTTTCTAGTCTAGACATTTACTTACCAGTTTGGGGAACTTGTGACAATCATTGGATTCCTCTGAGCTGACATGTAGTCTGGTAAAACGTCAGATCTGATGATTTCTATGACTATTCTAGCTTTAAAAGTCTACCTGAGCAACACGTCTTGGGGGAAAGTAGACCCTATGTAAACACACAATAATAGTAGATAACACCTGCACTTCTTACTGAATGCCAGACTTGCTTTCAACACCTCCATGACACACTAAGTCTTCTCCAGCAAGCCTGGGAGTCAGCCCTCATCTCTTCCATTTAGAGACGGGGATAACTTGCCCCAGGCCCCATAAGACAGTATGTGCAGCTACAGCTTTTAATCGAAAATCACACCTGACAGAACACCAGAGACTTCATACTGGAGAAAAGCCATACAAATGTACAGAATGTGGCAAAGCTTTTAAGAAAAAATCATGCCTTACTCAACACCAGAGACTTCATACTGGAGAAAAGCCATACAAATGTAAAGAATGTGGCAACACTTTTAATCAAAAATCAAAACTTACTCAACACCAGCGTCTTCATACTGGAGAAATGCCATACAAATGCAATGAATGTGGCAAAGCTTTTAATACAAAATCATCCCTTACTCAACACCAGAGACTTCATACAGGAGAAAAGCCATAAAAATGTAAAGAATGTGGCAACACTGTTAATCAAAAATCAAAACTTACTCAACACCAGAGACTTCATACTGGAGAAATGCCATACAAATGTGAAAAATGTGGCAAAGCCTTTAATCAAAAATCACAACTTACTAGACACCAGAAAATTCATCCTGGAGAAAAGCCATATAAATGTAAAGCATGTGAAAAAGCTTTTAATAGAAAATCACACCTGACTGAACACCAGAGACATCATACTGGAGAAAAGCCATACAAATGCAATGAATGTGGCAAAGCTTTTAATACAAAATCATGCCTTACTCAACACCAGAGACTTCATACAGGAGAAAAGCCATACAAATGTAAAGAATGTGGCAAAGCTTTTAATCGAAAGTCACAACTTATTCCACAGCAGAGAGTTCATACTGGAGAAATGGCATACAAATGTGAAGAAAAGTGGCAACGTTTTTAATAAAAAAATCATGCCTTAATCAACACCAGAGTATTCATACTGGAGAAAATCCATAGAAATATAAAGAATGTGGCAAAGCTTTTAATCAAAAAAATCACACCTTACTCGACACCGGAGGCTTCATAGTGGAGAAATGGCATACAAATGTAAAGAATGTGGCAAAGCTTTGAATCGAAAATCATGCCTTACTCAATACCAGAGAATTGATACTAGGGAGAAACCATACAAATATCTATAATGTAGCAAAGCTTCTAATTGAAGGTCACTCCTTAGTCAACACCAGAGACTTCTTATGGGAGAAAAGCCATACAAATTTGGAGAATGTGGCAAAGCCTAATCAAATATAACGTATTTGACACAAGAGAATTAATACTAGGAAAAGTCCATACAAGTTTAAAGAATGTGGCAAAGCTCTTTATCAAAGATCACACATTTCTCAACACCAGAAAATTCATGCTGGGGAGAAACTATACAAATGCAAAGAATGTGGCAAAGCTATTCTATTAGGAAAAGTATTGTTGTTCACCAAATATTTATACTGGATAAGAGCCATGTAAGTGTTAAGAATGTGGCATATTTTAAGTATGCTTCAAGTGTTAACAAGAAACAGATCATTCATACTTGCAACAATTCTCACAAATGCATAGACTTAAAAGTCATTTCCTGTAAGATCAAACCTCATTGGTCACCAGAAACTTCATACTGGGAAGAACAATTACAATTGCCCAGAAATAGCTCTGCAGCACTGACTCCATAAAATTTCAACCCTTGCCCAAATGGCCATTACTCATTAGCCCATGGAAGTGGGCAGGAAGCATGATTGGATGCTTCACCTTCTTTCCTTCTGTGGACCTCTCCAGGTTCAATTGTACTTTCCTCAGTTTCTCTGTATTGATTGAAATCAAATCATTTTTTTTTCAAAAGCTATATCTGGACTTACAGGCCTATTTGTACCAAACCAACACATTAATAAAATTATCTTATGCCTGAAGTCTATGGTCACATCAATATATTCCCCATAATCTCAGCTGGACAGCATGGTCCTATGTCGATGTCTTATTTATTTAATTTTGTTTTGGTTGTATACCGAGGATTGAATTCAGGGGCATTCAACCCCTAAGCCACATCCCAGCCCTATTTTGTATTTATTTAGAGACACAATTTCACTGAGTTGCTTAGGGTATCACTTTTACTACTAAGACTGGATTTAAACTTGTGATTATCCTGCTTCAGGCTCATGCACTGCTTGGATACAAGGCATGCATCCCTGCACCCAGAAATCAATGTCTTTTGCTTTGTAGTTAGTTAAAAAATTTTACTCAGGATTTCATGTCCATAAAAAGATGGTTTTGTCACACTTCAGGCATCAGTTTCTGGCTTTTGAAATGTCCTGCATGAAACATCTTAGCTTTCTACATCAAATGCAGAGATCACAAATTTGAAACCAGGTGGCTGAGAAACAAAGATATTGAACAGTAAAATGCAACATATGTTGTGGTTAAATCCACACATGTAGTGGGTATGAACGCTCACACTAAATAGACATCAAGAGGCCTGTCCATGACCCCTGATGATCCTGAGCCTCCTTCATGACTTTGAGCTCCTGAGCCTCCAGAGAGTCTGCAAAAATGAGAAAGAAGCACACTACATTTTCCCACCCCTAGACATACTATAGCTTTTACTAGACAGACCAGGGAAAGCACTGTGTGTCTTTGTAGCAAAGTGTGGCTCTGCTTGCATATATATGACATCTGTTTTAGAGAACACTGAGACAGTACCTGATGAAACATAGTTGCCCTTTTTTCTCTTAATAGAAAACCACAGCCCTGCAAATTTTTTAAATCAATAATTTTGTTACAGTTGAAAAAAAATAATAATGGTTAAAAAATGGTGTCAATGAAAAGCATTTGAACTAGTGAGTCCACCCTTTCAGTAGTACTTACAAGGATACAGCTCTGTCACTCAGAAAAAGGTCTGTCCCAATCCACAGAGTGAAAGCTCAGAAAGTTACATCTTTCCCTGGACCCATCCTTGGCTCTTCAAATTGCTTCTTCCAAGTAAATGATGTTTTTAACAGTTAATAAAGTATGAGAAAATCTCTTCCACTGCAGTACTTCAGGTCCTCTCAGGATTCTGGAAGGCTGGGCACACTTTTCATTTAAGCAGCAGGGGAGTTTAAGGAAGGAGAATCACAGTATCAAAACCAGCCTCAGCAATTTCACATGAATCTAAGCAACTTAGGAAGATCCTAACCCTAAATAAAAAGATTTTGGCATGTGGCTTAGTGGTAGAGAGCACTTTGGTTTGATTCCAAGTACAAAAAAAAAAAAAAAGGAAAAAGACAAAGAGGCTCAGGTTTTGTGGTCATCAGACTCAGTTTTTGCTGTACATAAGTCTGAACAATTGCATTATTTAAAAACTTTTTTTTAAAAAAAATGTACTAACTATAGTTACTTAGTGATCACCATAGTACTATAAAGCAGAGATACCTCCACTAACTTTTACTGTCATAGAAATACCTCCATGATAATCCCAAATATTAATATGGTACCTCAGTGATTGAGTGTCCCTGGTACCCCCTCCCAAAAAAAAAAACCAAAAATTTCAAGTGGAACTACAGCATGATCCCTCTCCATAGCCACTGTCCACTGCTGTAAGAGCAAAAAGACTGACAAAACCCAGTGTTGCTGAGAATATGGAGTAGCTGGAAATCTGCATTGCCAGTTGGTGGGTAACGAATGCAACAGCATTGGAAAACTGTCCAACAACATCTGCAAAAGCTAAATCTTGAGCCAGGTGTGGTGGTGCATACTGGTAATCCCAGCAACTCAGGAAGCTGAGGCAGGAGGATCTCAAGTTCAAAGCCAGCCCCAGCAACTTAGTGGGACCCTAAGCAACAAAGTGAGACCCTGTCTCTGAATAAAATATAAAAAAAATGTGGGGATGTGGCTCAGTGGTTAAGCACCTGTGCGTTCAATCCCTGGTACATAATAATAATAATAATCCTAAATCTTGAATTTTTTGAAGGGACTAACGTGGAATATTTTTTTAGACATCTTTTATAACCACCCAAATCATTTCTCGGCTCTCAAATTCAATATACTTTAAAAAGAAAGAAAAACAACCCCACCTTCAAATCAGTAATGCTGTAGGACCAAGTAAACAGTATAATGTGTTTTATAATGTGTTTATAGCAATGACACATGGTGATGCCACCTCAGCTTGGAAACAACATATCCATCCAGGGGCTAGAGGGCCAGCTCAGTGACAGAGCACCTGCTTTGACCTGCTTTGCATGTTCAATGCCCTGGGGTCCATCCCCAGCAAAAACATACAAGGAAAAATAGTTATAGGTTTTGCTTTTATTTTTGTTTTTTGGTTGTTGGTTTTTTTTTTTTTTTTTGATTCTGGGGATTGAATCCAGGGATGCTTAACAATTGAGCCACATCCCCAACTTTTTTTATGTTTTATTTTGAGACAGGATCTCAATAAGTTGCTCAGGGCCTCACCAAATTGCTGAGGCTGGCTTTGAACTCACAGTTCTCCTGCTTTGCCTTCCAAGTTGCTGGGATGACAGGTGTGGTGTGTGCCAGCACACCTGGCCTATAAAAGGTCTTTATGAACTCATCCCTGGTGTAAAATGTAATTGCTGTGTGTACGTAATTTATTTGTTTTATTTAGTGATGCCTGGTTTAGCTTCACTGTAATAATTAGGACCACTTTGGTTGCAAGTGGTGGAACCCAATTAGAACAACACTAGCAAAAAAAGGAGGGTTATCAGTCAGAAGTCATTCGGGGATAGGGAGGAAGATGACTTCAGGAAGGAGTGGGTGCAGACACCCCTGGAAGGCCCTCTCTCCCTGGCTCCTGCCTCTCTCCAGTGTGGCCTCACTCTTTGTGCTAATCATGGTCTTTCCTCTGTCTATGTCATCTCAGGTTATAATTCTGTCCACTGGGCTGACACTCACAGTGCCTTCCAAGGCAAAGAGGCTGATTAGCCCAGTGTGGGTCCAGACCCCACCCTTGAATCACTCCATTATTGCCTGGGAGTGAGGCATGACAGAGGCATTGTGAAAGGCCAGCTCTGGCCAGGTGTCCGGCTTCATACCAGTTGATCAGGGCTTGGGGGCAGATTTTCAAAATACCTTCTCCAGAATTACCAGGAAGACGAGATGAGCACAAGGAGAAGCAATGCCAAGAAGTGGGGAGCACCATATGATAGAGCAACGGGAGGCCCTGCTGCAGGGAACGGGGACTATGACCATTGAATATCAGGTGGCCTGACTGTGTTTTCCTGTATGGCCAGTTCTCCAGGGTAGCCTCTTGGAAGGCTGCAGCTGGTAGAAAATCAGCCACAGGCCCTGATCACGAGACCCTTTGAGAAGTACCCAGGAGAACATGGGATGCTTCAAACATGTGCCCCACATCTGTCAGCTATGATATGCACCTGAACTTACAGACTAAGAAACTCAGAGCACCCAGAATACAAAAAGACAGGAGCTCATTGAAAAATACAGTCCATGCTGTGTTCCCTAAACCAGAACCTAAGGGGTGCTAGAGGAAGCTGAGTAACAAAGCATGGATGACAGAAGTGCACCCCCATCCTGCAGAGTCCTGGAGGAGCACCACACGCCCCAGACATGGAATGTGTTCTCTGAAGACAGTCAACTTGGGAGACCACGAAATGCAGCTCTGTACTGTCCAAGACAAAATATGGAGGCAAAAATGTGTATGTAAGCCAGGCACAGTGGTGCATGTCTATAATCCCAGCAGCTTGGGAGGTCGAGGCAGAGGATCATAAGTTCAAAGCCAGCCTCACCAACTTAGTGAGGCCCTAAGCAACTCAGCAAGACCCTGTCTCAAAATAAAATATTTTAAAGAAAGTAATCCTGAGTTCAATCCTCAATGCCAAAAAAAGAAAAAAGTATAAGACACAATTTCTGAATACATCAAATCCCAAAGAGTGGAGATCATGCTGTTCCCTAGAGAGAAATTTGAAATGTCTTTATTAGGGTCACTATAGCTGCATATATCTAATAAAATCCCACAAGCTCCAAAACGTGGCAGACATACGTTTAAAGAATGAATTGTATACATGTGACTGAGACTCAGACCACAACAGTAAAACTCTGCCTTCCTATCATGAGTTTTATCTTCCAACGGTTAAAGCAGTTTATAGAACTTATTCTTCCCATATGTTTACCAGTACAGAAGATGTGTGGTACTGATCTCCCAGACTGCCACCTGCACTCAAGGTCATGTACGCTCACAGTAGACCCCCCTCCCCCACCCCCCGACAAACAATGGCAGTCTTCCCGATCACATCTTGGTTTATACACAGGTTGAAAGAAAATATTGCTTCATCCAGTGTTTCTTAACCCATTTCCTCCCCAATTTCAGCTGTCTTCTTTCAATTCCCCAAAATGTGCATTAATATTTATTATAGTAACATTGTGATTCCTAAAAATTTGACTCCTGAGTGTCATTAAAGAAGTAGCATACATAGAGCAAAGGGACCCTGCTACACTTGCTGCTGGGGGTGGTATAAATTAGTATAGTCATTATGAGAGGCCGTAGGAGGGTCCTCAGAACATTGAAGAGAGAATTACCATATGATTCAGCCATCCCATTACTCTGTATATATCCACAGGAAACAAAATCAGTTTGCTGAAAAAGACTCACACTCCTCTGTTTAGAGCAAAACTTTTCATACTCTTCAAGATGTGGAAGCAATTGAATCACTGGATGAATGGATAAAAAACTGAATGAAACACTATCCAGTCTTAGAGAAGAAGGAAGTCCTGACATTTGCATCAGTGTAGATGAACTCGGAGGACAGTATGCTAAATTGAATAAGCCTGAAACAGAATGGTTAATACTGCAACAATCTCAATTATAAGTGGGATCCAAAAAAGTTGAACTCTGTCGGGTGTGGTGGCACACACCTTTAATCCCAGTGACTCAGGAGGCTGAGGCAGGAGAATTACAAGCTCCAGGCCGGCCTCAGCAATTTAGGGAAGAACTAAGCAACTTAGTGAGATTCTGTCTCAAAATAAAAAAGACAAAAAGAGCTGGGGGATGTGGCTCAGTGGCTAAGCACCCCTGGGTTCAATCCCTGGTACCAAAAAAATTAAAAAATTAAAAAGTTGAACTTGTGTCACTAGAGGGTAGAGGCATGGGGTGGAGATAGGGAAGAAGGGTTGGGTGGGGAATGGGAAGATGTTGGTTAAAAGATTCAAAATTTCAGTTACACAGGAGGAATCAGTTCAAGAGATCAATTTTATAGCATATGACTACAGTTAAAACAGCATATCTTATCCTTGAAAATTGCTAAGAGAGTAGGTTGCACATGTTAATTAATTTACTTTAGCCATTCTACAATATATTCACATATAAAAACATGTTAAACCCATAAACAGATAGTTTTATCAATAAAAAAGTAATCTGGATCTACTTCCAATTGACCGAGCCAATCTGTGTGTCAATATTACAGGGAAATAATTTAAAAACAAAGAACTAAATAAATTGCCTGTTACCATCAAAAGAGCCATTTATCAAACTAAATTCTACTGGAAGATTTTGGATACTACGCAAAAAGAGCCTAGGATTCTCCAGGACCTCAGAGTTTTTATCATCAAAGACACATTTCTCTGGTTGAATGGAGGCAGGGTCCCAAAGATGGTGGACAGAGAGAGCCAGGAGCATGGCTGGGTGGGGTCTCACCACCTGTACTCAAGAATGCACAGAAGACAGTCTGGATGAACTAATGTGCATTTACCTGATTTCATGTCACCTTAAAACAGAGACCTGGAACCCAATGTGAATTCTCCCTGCTTCCCTGCAATGCTGGTCATACCCTGGTAATGCAGAAGGTGAAAATCAGGAAGGAAGATTTAGCTACAATTTTTAAATCAATGAGGACATGTGGTCAAAATTGGCCAGTGTGTCTCCTGTCCATACTGCCCCTGGTTCTCCTAGAGTCTGGAGAACTTTGAGAAACAAAGAGAAAAAATACAGAAAGAAAAATCTATAATAGTTATCAAGGAGGGGAGTTCACGTCTAACTTTAAAAATCATAGTTGGTGCAAGTGCTCTGCACCATGCAAGGAGGGATGAAGGTAGAAGAATCCCAAGGAAAGATGGGAGAAATA